GAGGATGATCGTGCCGCCTCGTCTCTTCTCACCTCGACCTGCTTCGTCCACTCTGTCACCTCCCTCCGCCCCCCCTTGTCCATCTGCGGCAGCTGGCATCTGTTTGGTCCCGTCCCTGTTGCGGAAAAAAGGATGCAGGCAGCGCCGATGATACGGAATCGACACACCTGTTCCCTTCTTCCTCGCCCGTGACAGCCTCGCAGTTGCCGTCCTGGTGTCATTGACATCGCTCGTCTTGGCCCGTATAGGCCTCCCATGCTGTTCCTCGTAAGCTCTCATGGAATCATGACAAGTGCCATCGACGTTGCCGATCGATCGCGCCCCCGCGGGCACATCTGCCGGTCCATATGCTGATGTCTGTCCGATATCGCCCGCCCATCCGGTCCATGCCCACACCGTCGTAGAAAGACCTCGTAGGCAGTGCGCTCGGCGCGGCCTGCCCGTGGGCGGCAGGATCAGCGGCAGAGGGGCGTGAGGGTGGTGGACACATAATGTCACGCATCCCCGTCAAATGCGGTCGAGGCTCATCTATGTGCCCGTCTCCAACGTCATGTGTGTTGGGCCTGACAATGCTGGGGTGTGTGGTCGATAACCCTCTGCGCTCGATGCCCCCCCTGAAGGACCGTCCACCATTTGCGCTCCCTGGCTGCGCTGTATCCTCGCTCACGCCCTCGCCTCCGTCCGAGCGGATAACTCCGGGAGGCCTCGCCTCTAAAGTCTCCGCTGACCCTCGATGTGGCTCTTKCTGCGGGCCCTCCTCTGGTGGATGGACTGATGACAYGCYGTCCGATAACAGCTGCGAACCATGACCCCCCTGCGCCAAAAAATCTCCAGACGCTGCCTTTAGTGAACCTTCCAGACTACGTTGAGCTGCGACGTGCGGTCCACCACGACGGTTYCGTGCYACCTCCTCCGCCAACCCCTGCTCCACCGCCCACGGTGCACCGACATGAAAAATGGCGGGAGKGCCGGACTCTGGAGGATGCAGTATCGTGTCGCCGCCGAACTCGTCGAACCCTCTGTCACGACGCGCGTCATCTCGTCTAGCAGGCTCCGGTGGTGCCACAACCGGCAAAGTGGGAGATATCAGTAGCGATATATCGGGCAGAGATGCCAAGGCGGAATCCATGGTGAATAGCTCGTCGGTGGGCGGAAGACTGTCGGGCGGGCAGTCGAGGCCAACGTGGTGGTCCGTCGGAGGACGTTCGTCCTCCCCGTCCTTTCCACAAGTGGGAGTGGGTGCAACCTCTCCCTCCTCTAGACCGCCGTCACTCGTGTAAGGAGGCGGCTCACGTCGTGCCTCGCCGTCCTCCAAACCCGCTCGTGTGGAGTGGACTGGGGCGCCTGCTGGAGTGCACCGAGTCTGCGCCTGGCAGAGTGGACCGGGTCCTCCGAACTCCGTCTCCTCCTCTGTGCCAACAACCGGCGCTGGCGACCGGGGATGAGTGATCCTGAACCCTRTATCCTCCTCCGTCACTATCACATCAGTGTTCGAGGCTAGCTCCTCTGCATGAACCGGGTCGCGCTGCGTCTCGTTGGAAGGATCTCCCATCTCGTCCTCTGACACGGCAACTGGGTCCTGCCGCATGTAACGTGCCCCCGTGTCGATCGCAATGTGGACACGACGTCTGTGTACACGAGACGCAATACTGTCATCCCGCCTACCCCCGTGTCTCAACCGCTTCAAAACGTAGCGACCACGGGGCATAAAATCGCCGTCCACACGCTTGTCAACCCTATCGCCACGGCACCCGCTCCGTCCACCATC